ACGTGGGTACAAACACAGTTCTTTAGTATAAACGCGTAAGTTGGTAAATAATGATTGTTCTCCAGCGTCACATGTTTACGTGGGTAGAAACACATTCTTTAGTATAAACACGTAAGTTGGTAAATAATGATTGTTCTGCAGCGTCACATGTTTACGTGGGTAGAAAACACAGTTCTTTAGTATAAACAGGTAAGTTTATGAAATACAACATTCAAGAACTGTGCTTCTTTGTTTGTACAATGAGTTAATATTTTATTATTTTATGTATAGAACAACAAATACTACTCACGTTCCATTTTTAAGAACAAAACATGTGATCAATCAACAATAACTAGCCACCGTAGTAAAACACAGGTATGATCAAATAAACAATAACTAGCCACCGTAGTAAAACACATATATGATCAACTAACAATAACTAGCCACCATAGTAAAACACATATATGATCAACTAACAATAACTAGCCACCGTAGTAAAACACAGGTATGATCAAATAAACAATAACTAGCCACCGTAGTAAAACACAAGTGTGATCAACTAACAATAACTAGCTACCATAGTAAAACACATATATGATCAACTAACAATAACTAGCCACCGTAGTAAAACACAGGTATGATCAAATAAACAATAACTAGCCACCGTAGTAAAACACAAGTATGATCAACTAACAATAACCAGCCACCGTAGTAAAACCTAGTTATTGTTAGTTGATCATACCTGTCCACCGTAGTAAAACACAGTATGATCAACTAACAATAACTAGCCACCGTAGTAAAACACAGGTATGATCAACTAACAATAACTAGCTACGGTGGTAAATAGAAAGTGTGATCACTTAACAATATCTTACGAAAGAAAAATAAAACAATGTAACGTTTCACTTAAATAATTCCATAAAGATCAAAATTAAAATATTAATATATTAAGATTATAAGCCATCCGATTCAGTACTGATTTTCCTCAACTAAAATAATATGGGATTAAATTATTGTATTTTATACACTTATTTTATTTGTTGTTGTTCTCCAACACCTGGATCAAACTCCTAACAGTAACTAGTATAGAACACAAAGTTACATACGGATAGTATTTGTGGTCCAGTGGCGAACATAAAAATGGACAACTGACCCAGGAACCCGGCTGATCCAATTCATGAAAAACTACTTGTAAGATATATAAAATTAAAACTTGTCTCCAGGGGGCCTGATATACAAATGCAACTCGTAAAAAGTACACCCGTGAACGAGGTTAGCGCAGCAATTTCTGAAAATCCTCCTAGATCCCGATAAAGTAGTCACAAACACAAACACCCGTCGTATAATATTGAATGTTTTTGCTGTAATTATGTTATAATTCCTTGTATTCTTTTACTTACACAATATTGATAGGATTGGTGAGAGAAGGTGTGTTTGTAATTAAGCACAAAGTTACACAATGGGCTATCCGTGCTCTGCCCACCACGGGTATCGAAACCCAGATTCTAGCGTTGTAAGTCCGAAGACATGCCGCTGTGCTACTGGGGGGAGGGGGCGGTGAGAAAAAAGAGGGGATATTTTTGGTCCAAGGCTTTTCATATTCCTACACACGCCACTAACCTGCGCTATGGCTACTACGGAGATAGAGCCCCGAATTCCAGACACTTCGAATTCAATCTCGATTAAAAATTCATTGATAACAACTGTTCCCACCTGGAGATATACGTGATAAAGGAGAGGTCTGTGAAACGGAATTGTTTTTTTGTTTGTTTGTTTGAATTTCGCGCAAAGCTACACGAGGGCTATCTGCGCTGTCGTCCATAATTTAGAAGTGAAAGAACAGAGGGAAGGCAGCTAGTCCTCATCACCCACGGCCAACTCTTGGGCTACTCTTTTACTAACGAATAGTAGGATTGGCCGTAACATTATAACGCCCCCACGGCTGAAAGGGCGAGCATGTTTTGGTGGGACGTGGATTCAAACCCGCGACCCTCAGATTGCGAGTCGAGCGCCATAACCACCTGGCCATGCCGGGCCCGAAACGGAATTATTCAAGTTTTTATATGGGTACTTAAAATTTCACGAGCATCGAAACTGTCTAGAAACACCAATAAGAAGAGAACACGCGAAAACTTCCATCCGTATCATTTCGCTTTTGTGACAATCCTAGATAAACTTACACGCACGTGGTAAGTTTTGAATTGGTTTTCTCGAGATTTCGGAAGATGAATAATACGATAACGAGTGTAGCTTCTACTCCTGCATGATAGAAACACACAGACACACACACATTCAAATCGTAAGTAAACAAAATCCACGTAATTCCAAATGTATCAAAGAATAAAAGTTTAAAGCTAAGTTATAAACTCTTTGTCGTGCATTACATATATATATATATACCTGCGTATCTTTTACTTCTAAATCTTAGTGACGTCAGAAAAAAGTTTGGGAAATGTTTATAAAATACAATATCTTATATACACGTGTGTATTTTAATAAAAAAATAACCATATTATTTGTTGAAACATTATAAGATCCGGAAATCCGAAGACATTTCTAATATATGTAACCCGATATTTCCGTTACTTTAGCTGTTACTATGGATAACTTTCTGATTACTTAGAATACAAGATCGGTCTCATCTATGTATCTATTACATCGTTAAATGTGATTGGATTATATCTTGATAATTTATAGCACACGTGAACTATTAAAGACTTCACAAGTTATAGTGTTATCGCGCAAGACTTCTTCTTAATTTACAAAACTTTATATGCAGTTGCCCCTAACAACATATAATGCTAACGCGTGGGAAA